TTCTTTATTGTATATATTTCCATTTTTAAGGCTTGAATAGTTTCTTACATATGTTTGATTGCTATTTCTTGGTTTTCTTGAGGCATTTGCTAATGTCTTCTAAATTTTATTTGTCTTTTCCTCCATCATTTCAGGGAATATCTCATTTCCTCTTTAAGAGTCTCAAACATTCTCCTGAAATTATTCTTAGGTCCTTTTCTTCTGCTTCATCTTTTTTGGTAGATCAAGTCTTGCTGTTGAAGAGTCTTTAGATTTTACTGGTGTTGTATTATTCTTTGTGGTGTTGCATGTGTTCTTACCTTGTCTACTCATCTTTTATTACAAATGGTATGGTTTGGGCTGTCTGTGACTCTGGTCATTAATCTAGGTGCCAGTGGATCCAAGACTCAGATGGTTGTTCCTTGTGGGACAGTCAGTACCATGGATCTAGTTATGCCAATGGTCACTCAGTGTTCCTGGAGGTCACTCGGCGCTTCTGGGGTTTTCCCCTCTCCCATGGATTTTACTGTCTCAGGCTTACTCTGGCTTAGGCTGCCAACACAGACCTGTTTCTGTAAATGATCATGGTCTGGATCTGCTTCTGCAAAGGACCCTGGCTCAGGGTTCATCCTGCAAAGGTCTCTGGCTTCTATCTACCCCTTCAGAGATCCCAGACTTGGGTGTGCCTGGATCCACAGAGGACCTGTCTCAGATTTACTCCCTCAGAGGTCCCTGACTCACACACAGACCTGCAGGGGTTCTGGGCCATGTCTACTCCCTGGAAGGTCCCAGATTTATGCCCGGATATGCAGTGGTCTCTGGCTCTGGCCCACTCGCTCAGTGGTTGCTCCCTTGTACCTCCTCCTGTGGAGTTTGATGTCTCAGCTCTGCTCAGACCAAGGTTGCTGGCTCAGTCCTGCCTCTGTAAATGTCCCTGGTCTAGATCAATTCCTCTTCCAAGGCTGGGACATCATAAACTAAGCTGAGCTTACATAGGTCTATCTCTGTAAAATTTTATACATGTCTCTCTTTTGCTAGTTCCACACCCTATATGCAGCTTTCCATGGCATATATCTCACAGCTTGTGAGTCACAACATCTGATCATCTCAAAATACAAATGTGACTTCATCTTCACAGAATCATTCAATGAACTCTCACAGGATCTTTTCTGAGATTCTAATTCTGGGAAGTTCTTCATCAAAAAAGGAGTCACATGTAAACAATAACTCTTTTTACTGTGTAACATGTTTTCACAGCTTGCCAAAGCTCTCAGTTCATCATCTCCCTACAGTACAATCTGCACCACAGCACCAGGTTTCCCAAACTCTTTATGTAGGCACTTAGTGCTATGAACTTTCCTCTTAGTTTACTTTCCTAATGTCCCATTAGTTTGAGTATGTTGTGGATTCATTTCATTGAATGCTAGGATGTCTTTAATTTCTTTCTATATGTTTTTTCCTTTACCCAGTTCAGTTGTAAGCATTTCCATGAGTTTGTCCATTTTTTTTTTTTGGTTTGTGTTGCTACTGAACTCTAACTTTAACCCATACTGGTTCCATATAATATAAGGAGTTATTAAAATTTCTTTGTGTCAATTTTAGATAAGGTTCCCATGAGGTCCTGAAAGAAAGTACATTCTTTTGTGTTTTGGTAAAATTTTTCATAGTAGTCTCATAAGTCCATTTGAGTCTGATGTGTGATTTAAGCTTTAGTAATGTCTCTTTTAAAATGTTGGCGCTCTTGTATTTAGGGAATAGATGTTCAGAATTAAGACTTCATCTTGATGGACTTTCCTGTGATGAATATAAAATGTTCTTCTCCATATCTTTTCAGTAATTTTACTTTGAAGTTTATTCTTATTTAGATACTAGGGTAGTTACACCAGCTTATATCTTAGATTCATTTGATTGGAAATTTTGTTCCCAACCTTGTACTCTGAAGTACTGTCTATCTATGAGGTTTGAGGTGTGTTTCTTGTAACCCACAGAAGGATAGATCCTGGTTTCATATCCATTCTGTTAGCCTATCTCTTTTTATTGTCAAACTGGGGCCATGAATACTATGAAATCTTAATGATCAGAAATTGCCTATTCTTGGCGGTGTTTTGGCCTAGGAGGTTTGAGTGTTTTGAGTTTCCCTACTTTTGGGTTTTGCTGTTGTGAGTTATCCTTTGTCTGTGTTTACATAGATTTAGCAAGCTTCCATGGGTTGGAGTTTTTATTATAGCATTTCTGTAGTGCTGGGTTTCTGAATAGGTATTGTTGAAATCTGGTTTTGTCTTGAAATACATTGCTTTTCTTGTCTATGGTAATTAAGTGTTTTTCTGGGCATAGTATTATGAGCTTGCATCTGTGGTCCCTTATGGTCTGTAAAACATCAGTTCAGGACTTTCTAGCTTGTAGGGTCTCCTTTGAGAAGACAGGTGTTATTCTGATGGATCTGAATTTATATGGTTATTGGCCTATTCATCTGCAGCTCTTAAAATTCTTTCTTCATGGTTGTAGGATAAAGAGGCAGCTTTATCTCCATAACCACATTTTCCTTTTTTTAAATAAATTTATTTAAGTCAGAAAAAAATCTTTCTTCATTCTGTTGGCTTAGTGTTTGATTATTATGGGGTGAGGGGACTGTTTTTTGGTCTAGTCAATTTGGTATTATGTAAGCTTCATGTACCGTCATACACATGTCCTTCTTTAGGTTGAGATTTTTTTTATTTTGTTAAATATATTTTCTGTGTCTCTGAGCTGAGATTCTTCTCCTTCTACCCTGATTATTCTTGGGGTTGGTCTTTGCATGGTGCCACAGATTTCCTGGATATATTATGATTGGAATTGATTGGATTTAACATGTCCTTTTACTTATGAATCTATTTCCTCTATTGTATCTTTAACATCTGTGATTGTCTCTTCTGTCTCTTGTATTCTGTCCATAATGCTTGAATCAGTAGTTCCTGTTCACTTAGCCATTTTTTCATTTCCTGAATTCCATCAGTTTATGTATTGCTTATTATTTCTATTTCAATTTTCAAGTCTTGACGTGTTTCCTTTGCCTATTTGAGTGTTTGTACATGGCTTTCTTTGTTTCTTTAAGGGATTTCTTGATTTCTTCCAATACTTTTTTTTGTCCTTTTTTTGATTTCTTAAGGGAATTTTTCATTTCCTCTTTCAGAGCAACTACCATTTTCCTAAAGTTATTATTAAGACTGTTTTCTTGGGTTTCAGCTGGATTAGGTCTTACAGTTGAATGATCACTATCAGCCCCATATTGCTCTTACACTTGTTGAATTTATTCTTGTGCTGGCACTTCCTCCTTTGTTCTTCCAACAGTTGTGGGTCATGGCAGTGCCTAAGTAGTCTGTTCTTCCATCTAGTATGGTTCGTGCTGTATGGTACATGATCTTCAACTGCTGGGTTTGCACGTGTACCTATGCAGTCTCCTAAGGTTACCAGGGATTACTGGCCACGGAGAGGATATTCAGGTGCCTGCTTGCTGTCTGTGACTGGGCCAGGACTGCAGAGGAATGGACTTTTTCTTCCCAGAATTATCCTGTTCTCATTCACCTGCCTTTACTTCCTGTCTGGTTGTCCCACCTGTACTTCCTGCCTGGCTACTGGCCAATCAATATTTATTTAAAATATAATTGACAGATACAGACAATTGTTTCACACCAGGAGTGGGGATACAGCCTGGAGGCAGGTCTCTCAACTGCTTGCCACTCATGGGAACTGCCATGTTGCTGCTTGTTAAGAACAATACTCAGGAGTACAGCATCCTTACTATCAGATGAGGACACAGCTAAGGGCATACTTATTTAATTTATTTCATTATGTTTGCATTTTCCAACATCAAAATTATATTTACAATACCTTCCTTTCTCATTTCCCCCTTATACTTACCCCATATAAACCCAACTGACCTCATTTTCACCATCTCTTTTGAGACTTTACATGTAAAGACATGCAAATTAGTGATTCTGACAGGACTGTAGCCATCCCAGGCATGTTAGATATATCTCTGAAAAACCATGTTCTTCTCTCACATTCCATTTGCCTTGCTAAAAACCATTAGATTACTATGGTAGCCTGAATAAAATTTCCCCCATGACATCATGAGGAGTGAATCTATTAGGACATTTGGTCTTTTTGGAGAAGATATGGTCATATTGGATGAAGTGTTTCAGTGTGGCAGCAGAGTATGAAGGTTCATACATGCTCAAGAAACACACAGTGAGTCTGTTTACTTCCTGTTGCCAATGGATCAAAACAGAATTCAAAGACCCTTCTACAATTCCAGGTCCATCTGCATACAACGATATCCCAAAATGATGATAATCGACTAAACTTTTGACAATAAGAGACCCAATTAAATGTTTTTCTTTAAAAGAGTTACCATGGTCATCATTTCTCTTCAAAGCAATATAAAACCTAAGACAATTACATTCCCAAAGCTAGCCACCAAGATCTTTTGCCTTAATCACTCACTTCCTCCACCTGAGATTGACTATCATGGTCCAGATATCAAGAGTGAGGTCAAGCTAGAAAAAATCCCTCATGACTGTCCTAATTATCCAGATAATCCAATTTAACACTTCATCCTAAAATGGGTTAACACCTTTACTTTTATAAATTGCTATTTTCCCACAGGTGATAACTATTTCTAGTGTATCAGAGAAAGCTTTGTCTTCTTGGGCCAAATATCCACTCCTCTACCCTTTGTTCTGTTCCCTTCTTTCTGATTCCCTATCTCCGGTCTTTCTACTAAAAAATCTTTCCCTATAATGTGACAAATGATGACATTAACACACATTTAATAGACAAAGGAGTAATTGTTTGGATTCATCCCACTAAAGGATAAGGGATGAGTATTGTCAAATGGAAGTATTGCTAGGCAGCATTGTCTTTCAATGTCCTCCTCAGCACAAGTGCAGATATTGCAATGCTCAGGTCAACACTCATAAATGAAATGTCTTGTCAAGAAAAATGCTCAAGCATCACTAATCATAGTTTTCGTTCTCCATCAGATGTGGATCAGTGTGTAAAGTGTCCAGAGGACCAGTATGCCAATGCAGAACATATCCATTGCATTGACAAAACTGTGAGCTCTCTGACCTATGAAGACCCCTTGGGGATGGCTCTGACCTTAATGGCCTTGTGCTTCACTGCGTTCACATCTGTGGTTCTTGGAATCTTCATAAAGCACCATGACACTCCACTTGTGAAGGCCAATAACCGGAATCTCAGCTACACCTTGCTCGTCTCACTCATCTTTTGTTTCCTGTGTCCCTTGCTCTTTATTGGTCATCCCAATGCAGCTAAGTGCATCCTGCAGCAAATCACATTTGGAGTGGTATTCAGTGTGGCTGTTTCTACTGTGTTGGCCAAAACAGTGACTGTGCTTCTGGCTTTCAAAGTCACAACCCCTGGAAGAAGGATGAGGTTCTACCTGATTCCAAGGGCATCCAATTTCATCATTGTCATCTGTACCCTCATCCAAATCATTCTCTGTGCAATTTGGCTGGGAGTTTCTCCTCCATTTATTGAAATTGATGCCAAGAGTGAACACAGCCACATCATCATTGTATGTAGCAAGGGCTCAATGATTGCATTTCATTGTGTCCTGGGATACCATGGTACCCTTGCATTAGGGAGCTTCATTGTGGCTTTCCTGGCCAGGAATCTCCCTGACACATTCAATGAAGCCAAGTTGCTGACATTCAGCATGCTGGTATTCTTTAGTGTCTGGGTTTCCTTTCTTCCTGCCTACCATAGCACCAAGGGCAAGGTCATGGTGGCTGTGGAGGTCTTCTCCATCTTGGCCTCCAGTGCAGGCTTGCTGGGGTGTATCTTTATCCCCAAGTGCTATATAATTTTGTTAAGACCAGAAAGAAATTCTCTTAAAAAGTTAAGGGAGAAAGCATCTTCCTGAACTACCATTTCCTAAATTGAAAGTGACAGCTGTAGTTTTGGTACAAAATCACCTGTTATGATACAATGAAAGATGTATGCATTAGCTAGTGACTCTCACTGTTTCTTCTCATGGAGATGTCAAGAACTGACACACATACTACTGTTCTGAACGTAATCTCTTGTAATCTTCCATTTAACCACTTAATTTACAAGTCCTGCCTATTGGACATTGCTGCATTGCAGAAGACTTTTTCTTTCTTTAATATATAATCAGATTTAAAATAAACTAAAAGTCCATCTATTGATGTCTGAGTGAATTTGTGTCTTAAACTGCCAGTGAGTGTTGAAACTAAAGGCTCATGATCCTTCCCTTACTTTTTCCCAAATTCACTATATCTCTATTTCCCTTCAAGAAAGTATAGAACTCCAAGAAACAACCACTCTATAGGAAAAAAATGTACAGTGAGACAAGGGAAAAAAACATCTTCTTACGTGTTTCTGAGCTTCCCTTTTGAGAATTCTCTGTTTAGTTCAGGACCCATTTAATATTGCAATCTTTGTTTTTGATGTATAGTCTCTTAAGTTCTCCATATTTTTTAGATACTAGACCTCTGTCAGATGTGGATGTGGTAAAAATATTTTTTCATTGTTATAGGGAGAGGGCTGCTTGTTTTTCCTGGCTGCCCAGCTAGCTTAACTCCAAAATAATCACACAGAAACCATATTCATTAAAACACTGCTTGGCCCATTAGCTCTAGCTCTTTATTGGCTAAGTCTTATATTAATTTAACCCATTTCTAGTAATCTATGTATTGCCATGTTGCAGTGGCTTCACAAGTAATGTTATAACTGGCATCTGTCTCAGTTGGAGAATCCATGGCATTTCTCTCTTACTCTGCCTTTCTTCCTCCCAGCATTCAGTTCTGTCCTCCCCACCTCCCTAAGTTCTGCCCTATCAACTCACCAGGCAGATTCTTTATTCATCAATGCTAATCACAGCACACAGAGGAGACCCCCACATCATCTCATTATCTAGGTTGCCTTAGAGGAGCTTTTCAGTTTTATGAGGCCCTATTTATTAATTACTGATCCTATTCTGTACACTACTGGTGTTCTTTCCAGATATTTTTCTACCAATCCAATGATTTTGAGGCTCTTTCCCACTTCTACCAGGTTCAGTGTATCTCTTTTTATATTGAAAGCTTTGATAAATTTGGACTTGAGTTTTGTGCAGGATGATCAGTATGGATATATTTATTTTCTACTATATGCAGACATCCAGTTAGTCCAGCACCATTTGTTGATGATGCCATATTTGTTTTCGTGTCTGCTCTTCTGACTAGTCAAAACTAGGTGCCTGTAGCAGTGTGGATTTTTATCTAGGATTCCAATTCAATTCCATTGACTGAGTTGTCTCTGTATATACCAATAACATGTTATTAGTAGTAGAGGATTTTAGTATAACTTGAAATAGGTATGCTAGTACTTCCAAAAAATTATTTTATTTTTCATGATTCTTTCAGCTATTCTGTTATTTGCTGTTTATCAATATGAAGCTGTGTATTTTTCTTTGGATTCCTGTGAGTGATTGAGATGGAACAATGCATTCTGATGGTAATCTTAGCTCTGTTGGTCAAGTTGCTTAAGTTTTGACTTCCTGATAATTTTCACTTGGGGTCCTTTTACTAATTATTGACCTCATTTACATTTATTGGTCTTGGAATGTTTCTTTAATTTCTTTCCCTCTGGAGGGGGGCGACTTTCACTCAAGTCTCGGGATAACACGTCCAACATGAACTCATGAGAGGCCATCCTTGCTGCAATCACACGAGGTTTATTGACAGGACAGGAACCAGTGCACTGGGTCCGAAACTCATTTCCCACTCAGGGGTAGAGATTTTGACCCTGAGTTGCTGGGAGAAGGGGTATTTAAAGGAAGAAACCACAACCCAGTAATCCAAAGGGGGTAGGGATGGCGTCATTGGAAAATTCTGAAAATACCAGTGATCATTGAAAAATTCTGAAAATACCAGTGGTAATCACAAGGGGTAACTCCCCGTTTCTCAAGATTATTCTCAAGATTATAATCTAACTTTATCTTCAGCTAGTTCCTGAAACAGAGTCACTGAACTGGCTAAACGAGATATTGGCTCTTCTCTTCCTGCTAGATTTTTTGACTCTATTTCTCCTGCTAGAGGCTCTGGATTTATCCGGGTCTTTCACTTTCAGTTATGGAATCATTGTTATTTCAGGTGTTTGTAATCCCAGGAATTACAGCTCATGGGTTGCACTTTTGTGCTTAAGTTGAAAAACAAATTCATTTTGTTTTCCAAGACAGTAGAAATGAACATCCTAGAAATCACTCTGTAAACCAAGTGGGTCTCCTCTGCCTCTCAAGTATTGAGATTAAAGGCCTGTGCCACCACAACCCAGATAATAGATGGAACTTTTAACAGTATCTTAAAAACAAGATTGGGGATGGTTTTGTTAAGAGGGGCCACAAGACAGTGATCCTTCAGACTGTGCCTGTTGGGGTGCAGTTGCTTCATCTTGGTCAGTTTGACAAGTTCACTCCTCAAACGAACATACAATGAAGCCATGTAGGCTGTTTGCACAATGCTGGAATCCTAGCACTAGAGGTGTGAGGAAAACAAATTCCTGCTCTAGGATGGCCTGGGTACATGAAGTGACTTTGTCTCTATGCAAAATAAAAGGAAATGATTGAGTTGAATGCAGCTCAGAGGTAGAATATTTGTCTAACACAGGCCAGGGCCTGGATCAAACTGCAGTACCAGACAACCCCAGTCAAAATCAAAGGGACTCATCAATCTATACCATTCCTGCTTATTTTTGTTTTTATAACCTCTACTACTGGCCTGGCCTCAAACTCAAAGTATAGACTAGAATGCATGGAATTCCTCCTGCATTTGCCTCTAACGTAATGAAATATTAGGTTCTTGCAAACCACACTGACATCATGCAGTATTTGAAAGGACAGTGTTTGAATGACACCACGCTGGGCAATAAGGTCGCACCAGATTGGCTAGTGTCTAACTCTAGGATCTTAGGGTGACTTGAGTCCAGCCTGGACTACATAGCTGGCTCTGACTACATAATTAGGAAAAGGAAAAAAAAAGATGCTAGCAAAATAGACTTGAACCCCCACGACTGTCCCCCCAAACATATACCCAGTGCACTGTCTATTCCAAAGATGTATGATAAAGGCTCCCTAAACCAGGAGCTAAATCTTTGAAAATTAAAGGCAACGACCCCATTTCATAGATTCTCCTCAGTCCCTGCCAGGCAGGATCAATCTTTCGAAATCAGAATATTGGTAGACTCCATTGTCTCTGAAAGGTGCATAGGATCTTTTCTGCCATTAGGAAAGGAGCTCAGATTTTTCCTTCCCTGGAGTTCCCCTTCCAAAGGGCTATGGGCTTCAGAGTAGCAGAGGTTGGGGCTGGATGGCACAATGGTGAATGTGATTGATTGTGAGTGGCTCCACATGCTGCCAGGGTAGCGAGTTTGCCTTTGAGACCACCAAATAGTGACCATCAAGGCCAGAGTGGTGACAGGTGCTCACTGTGAGGGGAAAGAGCTTCATAAGAAAGACTCTGAAAATATATTTTCACCTAAATTCTTCCTCAGGACCATCTCCCTAAACATCCATCAGAATGACCTTCCAGGCCCCACCCACACTCCTACAGCTGGGAGTGCAGAGCCTGGTGAGGAATGAGGCCTTGACCATCTCTACTCTGCAGGACCTGCCAATGCTGCTCTTTCTCCCACTGTTCAAGGAGGCCAATGTAAAGTTTTTGCGGCCCAACAAACCTCCCTGGTGATGCAATAATACAAATCAGACCAAATCAAAACAAATTAGAAAAAGTCCAGGTTTACTGAATGCCAGTGGTCCCAGGTGGCCCTCTGGGAAACCACAAAGAGGGAAAAGGAGAGCCAGAAAGACCACGTGTTCTTTTCTGGGGACAATTTAAATACCCTGTGGGAGAGGTCTTGACCCTCTCTGGGGAAAGGTTCACTGTTTGGTGGCCTTTCTTGGTGGTGGAGTTTGGACTGAGGCAACTGCCAAGGGAAAGGGCTTGAAATGGAACTTTCAACCCATCATTCCAAAACATGCCAAGGGCTGAGGTGAAGCCCCACCCAAACAGATAACACTCAGAGAAGAGCAAAGATGATTAAGATTCCTGCTTAGAATGAAAGTGGTATGTCTTGAGTAAGCAGCTAGGCAGCTAGATCCTGTCCTGAAATCTGGTGGAACTTCACTGCTCTAGCAAAGACTTCATCAGTCCGCAAGCAGGCACCTGAAAAATCCTCTCATTGCCAGTAACCTGAAGACAACCTAGATGGACCCTCCATTGAAGAATGGACAAAGAAAATGTGATATATCTACACAAGGGTGTATTATTCAGCAGAAAAACATTTATATCATGAAAATTGCAGGCAAATGAATGGAACTAAAAAAAAATTCATCCTGAGTGAGGCAACCCAGACTCAGAAAGACAAATATGGTTTGTATTCAATCATAAGTGGACAGTAGATGTAAAGCAAAGAGGAAATAGATGAGATATCCTGGGTAAACTGTGGGGAGAGAAAAGAGGAGGAATGAGGGGCTTGAAACATGAGGAATTAAATGGCTGAGATGGGGGCAGGATGGAGGGGCAGAATAAGGAGAGAGATATTTTGATAGAAGAGACCCTTATAGAATAGGGAGAATCCTGGTGCTAGGGAAGTTCCCAAGGATCCACAAGTCTCCTAGAAATTCTGGAGCGGGTGCCTGACCTGGCCTTCCCCTGTAATCAGACTGGTGACTACCCCAATTGTTATCATAGACCCTTCATCCAGTACCCAATGGAAGTAGATGCAGAGTCCACAGCCAACCACTGGGCCGAGCTCTGGGAGACCAGTTGAAAAGAGGTTAGGGGATTATATGAGCAAGGGTGGGGGTGGGCAAGATCATGATGGGAAAACCCACAGAGACAGCTGACCTGAGCTTGTTGGAGG